GCTGCCCTCTCATTCATTGATCCGCTAACCGCTATGTTATGCTCACGTGTTCTGGTAATAATAGCTTTCTAGGATTAAACATTATTTGGATAATTGGTAAAAAAAATCAATTCTCTTAATAGCCCTACTGTGTGTTAGACCTACCTGAAAAACTAAAAAGCTATTTATTTCATTTGTAGGCCTATCGTGATTTTTTTTTATTTGTGCTATCATTAGTAATTTCTTTATTTGTTCTTATTTTATTATTAGCTGCTTAGCCTCCTTGTCATTTTTTATTCAATTCAAAGTTTTAAATCAATCTCGTGCTACTGCACCAAAATGACCCCAGCTGTAAAATCAAAAATACACTGAGTGAGCAAAACTTTCATTATCATTATAAGTAGCTATCTCACAATGTTTACATATGAATAAAAGCCTACATTGAAATCTGTCATATAAATTGGTCTCTTCATTAGAAATTAGCCTACCGATTGCCACCATTGATAGACACATTTTTTTAAATAATATTAAAAATATCTGTATGACATTATATTCTGCAGTTCTTCCCTGCTGTACCGAATATCTATACTTTTCAAATTATCATATCGAAGTTAGAAATTCAAATATTGTGACAAAATAATTTTTGTAGGGTGCCACAAGTTTGTTAAAATTTCCAAAGGGTGCCGCGACTAAAGAAAGGTTGGGAAACACTGCTCTAATCAACATGGGCATGGACAAATAATGTGTTTATTATTAGTGAAACCATAGTCAACATAGAGCATGTTTCAAAGCTCATAGATGTTTTTCAAAGAACTTGTTCATGTCTATTAGACACATGAAAAAAGAACATAGAAATACCAGGCTCCCATTACTTCTCTTTCTTTGCACTGAGCAATTCATTTACTTACACAAGCCTGTTTACATTATTTGTACAAAAACGTTTCTTAGAATATTCATCAAGTAACATCATAAGGATATTTTGAGATTGTTGATGCACTAATGTGGACCGCACTAGTTGAAACACAATTACGGTTTGAACTTTAAATTGAAGCCGCAGCTCAGTTTTCAGAGTTTTGAAGATGCTTTCAGAAGGATTCTTCTGGACTTTGCTAGTGGTGATTGGCGAAGCCTTATGCTAATGAGCTCTTTAACAGTGAGAGAATCTCCTGTGTGGCTCTAAAAGCTTTTCCTGATGGCTGTTCAGCCCACATCTGTGCGCTTCTGCCTCTCGTCTGCGCCACCTTTAATTGGCTTTTGTCTCAAGGACGAGGGAAGCAGTGAGTCTGCTGCTCTCTATTAACGACTCTGTTCCTCCAATTGATCTCCTGGGTAATAAATGGCTGCTTTCTAATTAAGAGAGCCAGTAGTTCAGAGCAGACGAGTCTCTTAAAGTGCTGATGTCTGGATTATTGTGCAGCGGCGTGTGAAAACGGCTCCGTCTGCGCACGACATCTGGCTTTATCTTTAACCCTTCTTGGGCGGATTTGTTTATTTAACCAGGGTTTGGTCACATGACAAAATTCATGGGTTTTTGCATTCATCAGAACACATAATCATAATCTCTAGAACTGCTCTGAGTCACTTCATGAGAAAACTATCGTCGTATACAAACAGACACCAATGTTTCAGGAGTTTAGTACACAGAATGGGACACGTGCTTATTAGATAACCGTATTTGAGTTGATGTATATGCTTTTATTTTTTTTCAAAGCATTGTTAGATGCAGTGTTTCCTGTAGTTGGTTGCAAATATTTGGTTTCAAAAACAGTATCAGTAAACAATTTCTTATGATTTTAAATCTGCATTGAACTTCAGATCAATCTCAAAGTAAAAGGCGGTACTAAAGTCTGATTTTGTGGTGGATGTGTTCAATTATTTTAATGAATAATATCAATTATCTTCATTGAAGTGATGAAGGATTTTTGAAGTCTGGCAGTAATGAGTGTTGAGCACTACTGTAAGGTTAACCCCGCATGGTGTAAATGTTTGAAAATGGTTAGCAGTTGAAAACAGTCATTAGAAATGTTTAAAAAAAGTCATCAAAAATTAAACAAAAGTAAGCAGTTACATTACTTTAATAAAGTAATTAAAAAAGTTACACTACTATTACATTTTAAATAGGGTAACTTGTAATCTGTAACCTATTACATTTCCAAAGTAACCTTCCCAACACTGTGTGTATATATATATATATTTACATTTACATTTAGTCATTTAGCAGACACTTTTATCCAAAGCGACAATAGAAGCGACAAAGCGACAATAGAAGCAATCAAAACTAACAAAAGAGCAACAATATGTAAGTGCAAATGACA